GGCCGACAGAGCGACGATAGTCTGTCTGCGTGAGCAACACAAGAACTGATGTCCAAGTCATGTCAAGACAGAGTCAGGATAACCAGAGGCGAGCTCCAGCCTAATAGCTCACAGAGCAATAATAATAATACACCTACATGTAGCGCACAATCTACAGGGTTTTTATAAAACAATAGACTCAGATCTCATACGAGCCAGAGTGCCGTAGAGACTACAATAAGGGGCCACTATGCCTGACTCTCAGTCCTCGGGTCATTCACCCAACATACACAGGGCACTGGACACAAGGGCAGTTTTGTGACAGTTGGCAACCTACCAAACCACGACTGGTAGCGCATCCGAATATTTTTGACATGTCAGAATTATTATAATGAGGAGTGCCTTGCGGATAGATTTCCAGTGCCGACCTCCCTCTTTTTTGTCTCTATCATACATTCGGGTCTTTTGGTGATATATTGTTGTGATTGAGTGCAGTGGCCGACAGAGCGACGATAGTCTGTCTGCGTGAGCAACACAAGAACTGATGTCCAAGTCATGTACCAGGGTACAGCAGAGAAAATGATTCCAAATTACGATTGAAGTCCATGATCTGCGCGGATGGTGGCTAATGTGGGAGGGGTCTGTTTGTGGTTCGGGCGTGTGGGCTACTGAAAGGGAACAAAGTGGGGTGACAGGGTTGGTATTGAAGTGCTTCTCAGCATATTTTCGAAAAGATGCAAATGCCAAATAGGTCATGTAGTGACTGAAAGTCCATAGACAATGTGGGCAGTCGAGATAGGTGCAATGAGTGCATGTTGGTTTTCCTGACACTGGTTAGCCAGTAGCAGTGTGGTAGATTCGTATGTGATCAGCCAGATCCTTTCGATATAGGAAGGTGCGATCAAAATGGTGACAGGGTGGGACTGAGTCCTCACTATTGACAGAGGATAGGTGGTAATAGCGGAGGTGGCTGAGTAGGTCGTGGTGGGCGAGAGGGCGTCGGGAGCGTCCGTGTCGGCGATGGAGGTGACGATGATGGTCGTGGTACTGATGACAAATTTGGTGTTGAGCAGCGGAGCATATGGAGTTTGGGCGTTGGTGATGGTAGTCGCCGACATCACGGGTGTCGCGGTAGAGTTAGTGGATGCGGAGGCAGATTTATAAACAGGAGAAAGATGTATATAAGTGGTAGCTTGTTGGGATAAAAAAATGTATGACAGAGCTGATTTGTGCGCGGGAAGTCCGTTGAAGCTGTGGGCAGAGTGGATGCGGTTGGTTGTCAGAACTGTTTGTCTGCAAGATTTGGATCTTGTAAGCCGCGATTTCGGCTTTGGCGGCGGTGGTCCCGACGCCTCACTAAATAAATGTTTCGGTCTGTAAGACTGTTTTCCAGGCCCGTCGACTTTAGGCGATGTTCTCTTGGTTATCCGGACTTATTTTTTGAACTCAAAGGGGAATGTTCAGCGCATCCACAACGTTGTTTCTGTCCCGTTGGTGGGCAAATATCTGTAGTGATGACGCTGCAGAATATCCTCTCTGGTAGGATCTAGTCTTCCACCTACACAGCGTATCTGCACCATCGTAGCTGACTTTGCCTCGGCCTGACGTGAAGGCCGGAGAATCGGGTTCGTTCCGAGACTTCAGTTTCTGGGATTCTCTCCTGTCACCTCGATTTCAGTGTTCATCGGAGGCAACTGAGCGACGGTAGGCAAGTTTCCCCGTTATTTGTTGCGCATTACCAGGGTCCTTATTCCGTGCAACAGCTTTACCAGGATGATGGCTCGGTACATCATCAGTTACGTGCCGATTTGGAATCTGTGACGATTCAAAAATGAGACCTGCAGCTTGTTAGTGATAAAATTTTTAATTGGCACAGTTATTAGGCTATCCAGGAAAGAAAGATAGCAGTATCCAAACAGGTACAAACCAGTGAGTAAGAACAAAGTCTCAGGCAAGTAAATATGTGTGCGCTTGTTCTGTTTAATTAAAAGTGGTGTCAAGCTCATTTAAAATGCGTATTGTAACTGAGTAAAACAAAACGAACTTAAATGTCACCACAAGATGGTTAAAAGACCAACATGATTTATAGATCCGATAGTTAACTATTCTGCCGACTTTGGCATTCATTGAAATTGTGCTTCCGAGACAAACGACTTTGCCGACTAATGCACGTTGAGTCCCATTGATGTTGTAAAGGGGTATACTATAATCCGTAGCAGATGCGGTGGATGAGTGACAGTCGTCTTATGTGGTCTGATGGGGTGTAGGGGTGTCCATCGGTGGTTCACGTGATGGTCGTAGTGGTCGCCCACTTGCTTGCAGGCGGGACTAAGCCTAGCGTCCATTTGCTGGTACACAACTCTCACCTGTGGCTCAACGTAGCTCGGCTCTGCCCAGCGGCCAAACCCTGGGCAACCGCCTCGAACGGCGGGCTAAACCAGGTGAGGGCGGTAACTCCAGGTGCGCAGGGTACTGCGGACTCTCTCCTCATCATCCTGCCTATTATTCGGCCTATTCTTCTCCTTCGTCATCTTCTTCTCCCCCTCCTTCCCGCCGCCCCATTCGCCGCCGCCAGACTGACAGGGTGAACCCGCTCACACTGGCAGCCTGGAATGTTCGTTTCCTTTAAGACAATCCGAGAAGAAACCGCCCGGAACGGAGGACAGCGCTAGTGGCCCGGTAACTGGCGCGCTTCAAGGTGGACATTGCTGCACTCAACACGACCCGGTTCTCCCAACAAGGCCAAGTGGAGGAGGTAAGGGCAGGCTACACTTTCTTTTGGAGAGGTCGCCCCAGTGCAGAGCGACGGGGCGCGGGTGTCGCCTTCGCCATCCGGAACGACATCGTAGTACGACTGTCCTGTCTACCGCAGGACATCAATGATCGCCTGATGAGCCTCCGTCTGCCTCTCCGGGGTGGGGGCAAATTCACCACCACCATCAGGGCCTACGCTCTGACGATGACCAGCCCCGACGCCGTTAGAGACAAATTCTAAGAGGACCTGCACGCCCTCTTGGCGACTGTGTCGAAGGCGGACAAGTTGATTGTCCTTGGTGACTTCAACGCAGACATCGGCACAGACCATGCTACTTAGAGAGGAGTGCTTGGTCCCCATGGTCTCCTCGGCTCAAACGACAACGGCCTGCTGCTCCTCCGCACCTGCGCAGAACACCGCCTCATCCTGACAAACACTTTATTCTGTCTGCCGGAGCGAGAGAAGGTCACCTGGTGGCATCGACGGTCGCGTCAGTGGCACCTGCTGGTCTATGTCCTCGTTCGGAGGAAAGACCAGTAGGACGTGCTGGTGACAAAGGCGATCGCGGTTGCTGACGGGTGGATCGACCATCGCCCCGTCATCTCGAAGATGCGTATTCGCCTACAGCCTAGCAGGACCCAGGTAAGCTGAAAATTGCATTGTTGTCTTTGCTCGTTCGCCACCCCATTTCAGCAATGAGCTAGCTCAACGGCTAGACAACCTTCCAGTCGATGCCGCCGCCGCCGCCCATGCAGGCGCAGCCGAGAATACCTCCGTGGAGAACCGCTGGTGTCAACCGCGAGACACTGTCCAGTCGACGGCGCTCGCCGTCGTCGGTCGCGCACGCCGCCAACACCAGGAGTGGTTCGACGACAACTACGCCGTCATTAGCAATCTGCTCGCCGAGAAGAACCGCCCACACAAAGCCAACACAGACTCCCCCCCTGACGACAACAGAGCTGCTTTCTACTGCAGTCGTCGCCACCTTCAGCGACGACTGCGCGAGATGCCGGACGCCTGGACTGCTCGCAAGGCTGAGGAGATCCAAGGGTACGCGGACCGCAACGAATGGAAGACCTTCTTCTCTGCGATCAAAGTTGTCTACTGTCTGCTGACGAAAGGCATTGCTCCTCTCCTTAGCGCCGACGGCAGTACCCTCCTGAGTGACAACACACAAATTCTACAGCGATGGGCCGAGCATTTCCGAGGCGTCCTCAACCGTCCCTCCACCATTTCCGACGCCGTCATCACCCGTTTGCCGCAAGCGGAGAGCAACACGGACCTCGGCCTCCCGTCATCTCTCCAGGAAACCATCAGGGCCGTGCAGCAGCTCTCCAGCGGGAAAGCATCCGGATCGGACGCAATCCCTGCTGAGGTCTGCAAGCACGGCCGTTCTCACCTAATGGATCACCTGACTGCGCTCTTCCAGGAGATGTGGCGTCAAGGTGAAATCCCGCAAGATTTCAAATACTCAACCATCGTCCATCTCTACAAACGAAATGGGATCCGCCAAGTCTGCGAAAATCACCGCGTCACCTCCTTAATGAACATCGCCGGGAAGATCTTCGCTCGCATCCTCCTTAAACGTCTTAATAAACATATAGAAGAGGGCCTTCTTGCGGAAGGCCGAGGCGGCTTCCGTCGTCATCGCGGGACCACGGATATGATCTTCGCCGCCCGTCAACTTCAGGAGGAGTGCCAGGAGATGCGGACCCACCTGTACTCTACCTTCGTGGACCTGACAGAAGCCTTCGAAACGGTGAATCGTGAAAGACTGTGGAAGATCATGCAGAAATTCGGCTGTCCAGAGCGATTCATTCAGATGGTGCGTCAGCTGCGCGACGGTGTGATGGCGCGAGTCACGGACAACGGAGCTGTCTCAGAGGCATTCACAGTGACCAACGGAGTGAATCAGGGATGCGTGCTGGCTCCCACCCTCTTCAGTCTTATGTTCTCTGCCATGCTGATGGACGCCTACCGTGATGAACTCCCGGGGATCCGCATCGCCTACAGCACGGACAGCCAGCTCCTCAATCGACGCCGAATGAACTTCCAGTCATGCGTATCCACAACCACCGTTCACGAACTCCTCTTCGCCGACGACTGCGCCCTCAACACTACTACCTCGGAAGAGGAGATGCAACGCAGCATGGACCTACTCTCCGCCGCCTGCGAGAACTTCGGTCTGGGCATCAATACGGAGAAGGCAGTGGTCATGCATCAGCCGTCGCCGAACGCAGCCCCCCCTACAATGCGCCACAGAGTTGTCATGCGAACTCGCCAAACCGCTTTGGCACATCTTTAGGTCCTCCTTTGACCGAGGCATTCTCCCCTCTGATTGGAAAGTGGCGAACATATACTCCATTCACTAGGGCGGATCCAGAACAAGTACAAACAATTATCGGCCGGTGAGCCTAACGTGCATTTGTTGCAAAGTCATGGAGAGAATAGTCAAAAAATCCATAATGAAGTTCCTTGAAGAAAATAATTTCTTTGCTAGTTCTCAGCATGGCTTTCGACGAAATCACTCCCGCCTAACTAATATGCTTCATTCAACGGAACAGTGGTCTCGCTCGTTAGACGCAGGAACAAAGGTCGATATCGTTTACATAGATTTCAAGAAAGCCTTTGATAGTGTTCCACACCACCGGTTACTTTACAAGGTCCGAGAGTCAGGGATAAGGGGGAACCTATTAAACTGGGTAAAGGACTTTCTGACTGGTCGATCACAGTCTGTGTGTATTGGTAGTGCGAAGTCAACACCAGTGCCAGTTGTGAGTGGAGTTCCGCAGGGCTCCGTACTCGGACCAGTACTATTTTTAATTTATGTCAACGACTGTATGAATGGACTAGACTGCAATGGAGTCATATTTGCTGATGACATCAAGTTATGGCGAGCGATCAACGGCGAACATGATGAACGGGCCCTGCAAGAAGGACTGAACCGCCTAAGCGAATGGTCTGAGAAATGGCTGCTAAAGTTTAACCTAGAGAAGTGCGTCGCGCTGCATCTCAAAACGACTGGAAGATCTGACGGAGAAGATCACCATTTTCAACTTGGTGGAAGTTGCCTTTCAAATGTAACCGAACAGAAAGATCTTGGGGTTACCATTCTGTCGACACTTAAGCCTTCATCTCAGTGTGTTAGGGCGTCCAAAAGAGCAACTAGTGTTCTCTTTGCCATTAAACGAACTTTCGTGGACATAGACAAAGAGTTATTTGGAAAAGTATACGGAGCGTTCATTCGCTCGCATCTGGAATATGGAATCCAAGCGTGGCGCCCGTGGCTAAAAAAAGACTATAAGTTGCTAGAAAGAGTTCAGAGGAGAGCAACAAAAAATGTAAAAGGCCTCAGGACTTTACCTTACAACTGCCGACTTAGGGAACTTAAACTTTTTCCTCTTGAGTACAGGCAGGTTCGAGGAGATCTCATACAGGCCTATCGGATATTGAGGAACCGGGAATGTGCCCTAAACCCTGACAATTTCCTTACCCTGGCCACAACAACAAACCTGCGTGGGAACTCTCTAAAACTTAGAGGATCCCGATGCCGGCTGGACGTTCGCAAATACTGTTTTTCACAGCGAGTCGTCGGTGCCTGGGACGGGCTTCCCGAGGACGTAATAATGGCGGATACCACGGAGACGTTCAAGCAAAGACTCGATGCATATTTGCTTGGACACTATCGCTTGTCTGAACAGAAGAGCTCTGTGGTGCTAAACCAACGCCTTGCATACTCATACCGCTAATGCGGATGACCGTCATTACATTTTACTGAAATCATCTACAACTGAATGTTCTAAAGTTTTGGTTCTACATTTTCACGGAAAATATTATGTTAAATGTATATATTACTGACAATATTTCAGTACCATGTTTATTTATAGCGAGATATTGCATGTACTGTTTACAATAGGGTTTTCAAAGGCATTGCCTATTACTCTTAAAATATACTGACCTATACTGACCTAGATCAGCGTGAATGGAACCCCACTGCAAGTGGTGGAGAACTTCCCGTACCTGGGCAGTACCCTCTCCCGTAGCACCAAAATCGATGACGAAGACGCTCGCAGGAGTTCAAGTGCCAGTCAAGTCTTCGGTCGCATCCAAAGCACAGTTAGGAATCGTCATGGTCTGCAAATGAGCACGAAGCTGAAAATGTACAAGGCCGTCATCCTGCCGGCGCTACTGTACGGAGAAGAGACTTGGACAGTGTACACAAAGCAGGCACGCCGACTGAACCACTTCCACCTCAGTTGTCTCCGTCGCATTCTGAGACTGAGCTGGCAGGATCGAATTCCCGACACTGATGTGCTGGAACGGACGGGAATCCTCAGTATCTACAACATGCTGAGACAAATGCAACTGCGCTGGAGCGGCCACCTGGTGCGCATGAACGACGAACGACTACCCAAACGACTCTTCTACTGAGACTTCGCGACGGGTTCTCGTTGCCAAGAAGGCCAAATTCGTTTAAACAAGGATACTCTAAAGTCCCACATCCACTTCCTCCGACTCCAGCGATGAGGACCAGGACTACACCTGCCCTCACTGCGACCGCACCTTCACCTCACACATCGGCTTGGTCGATCACTTGCGAATCCATCGCACAGAGACTGGCGAACCATTGCCTGGCGCACCAACCTACACCCACCGTACTTGCCTCCACTGTCCACACGGCCCTCGCACCTTCACGCACCGCATGGGCATATGCGGCCACATGCGCATGCACGAGAGCGGAATTGACCACAATTCCGACACACCAACCACGTCCAACGCGCCCACCGTACCCAGCCCCACCCTCGCTCCATCGCCCTGCGCTCCTATCAACATCGCCGCCGCCGCCGCCGCCGCCGCCACCACCACCACCACCGACTCCTCTGTAGCTGACACTGACACCGCCGACTTCTCGTGCCCACACTGCCCACGCACGTTCTCCCCACGCATCGGCCTGGTCGGTCACTTGCGAATCCATCGCACAGAGAATGAAGAACCAGTGCCTAGGGCACCAACCTATGCCCACCAAGCTCGACTCAACTGCCCACATTGTCATCGCACTTTCAGGCATTGCATATGCCTATTCGGTCACATTCGCATCCACGAGGACCTGCGGTAGACAACCGCCGGTTAAACCACGCCATCACACTCCCCCTCCCTCAACATCACCAACACCATCCCATCACACAGCAACACTCACCCACCGCATGCACCCAACTGCCACCTTCCACGCATGTGGGAAGTGTGCACCTCGACTCGGTCCTCATGCGGCTTCGGCTGCACGGGTGATTTGTGTCTGAGACTATCCCGACACGTCAATCGTCGAGGATAGGAAGGTTGCTGATTGACGCCCCCACTCGGTCCACGCAGTTCGTCCCGTTGTGTGTGCGTTGTGTGGAGTGGCGGACTGGTGGACTGGGGACGGGCTGAAGCAGCACCCTCCACGGCCCTCTCACGCAAGTGAGAGACACGCCTTTCAACCCCCGTTGTGTGAAATCCTGGTGTTCGTGTGTATGGGGGCCAGGTCGTGCATGTGGCACGCGCAGTCATGGCCAGTCGACCATGGCAGCCACCGCGCCCATTTCCCACTCCAGTCTGCTGACCGGCTCGGACAGTAGCTGGGGTGTGGGAGTGGGAAGGGAGAGTGAGGTCGACGATTCAGCGCAATTTCCTCACTATAATCAATCTGACGCGCTTGAAGCTATCACGGTGCGCTAAAAGCCGTGGCTTGGAAGGTTGCCAACTGACGGGGTAACTTGGACCTCCTCCGTGACTGGTGGTGGTCTGAGAGTCAGACTGCAATGGCTCCTTTTTAATGTGGCCTCTATGGCACTCCCACCACAGTGTGGGATCCGAGCCAGGTGTTGGCGGCACGCCTAGGTGCGGCTTCGGCCGTGCCAGCCTCCAAATGTCTCTTGCGTTTGTTGAAATCCCGGTTATTTGTTGTGTGGACCAGGGGGTGTGGTGGAACGCCAAGGTGAGGATCCGTCCGAGCCATCCACCTGCGACCTCCCTCGTCTCCGGTCTTCTTGACTCTGTCTTGACACCGGACCCACGCAAGGGAGAAGGAGAGTGTGTGGCAGATGCAGCGCAAGTCTACTGGAACTATAAACCCCTGCGCAAGTCACCGTCCCTGCTCCCACCACTGCTGAGGTGGGGCATACGGTGGACATCGTCGGATGCGACGGTCAAACTATTATGTGTTCTGATGGTTAATCCGAAGTTGATACAAATAGAGGCGATGATGTCTTTGGTTATGTGCATGATCGCTTCCAAATTGGCGTTGATTTCACAGCCATTCACGAGCGGTAGGTCGTGGACGCCGGCCTTGGAGGTTCTCCAAGATGGTTTTAGACGAAGGATGTTGAACCATTTTCAGTCGGTTCGATAGTTGGTGTCAATTACTGGCCGTTCCTCACGGCTAACGCCCGTCAGCAGAACGGAGGAAACGAGAGTGAAGAGGGTGGAAACAAAAAATACCTGTTTCATCCTTTTGTTCACTTTAAGCGTTTCCGAACCTGATTTATTGTCCGTGACGCACGGCATCAATCCATCGTGAAGTCAGTGCAGCATTTGCGTGAAGTAATACGGACGTCTAAATTTCAACATTAGATTCTAGGGATCATCGCAATGTCCTGTGTCAAAGGTCTCGGGTGAATTTACAAAAACGTCTTCGACAATAATCCTTTTTTAATGGCTTTTTTCCTACAGCTGACGAGCAGCGAAAATCATGTTAATGGCTCCAAGATTATTTGGAACTCCGACTTTTCGGGAGATCATTTCGACAGGTGCGTGTCGAGGAAATGGAGGAGAATAAGAACGAGGATTTCTCCTGTGATACTGAGAAGGAATATGCAAAGTTGTAGGCTTCACTTGCGTTTGCAGATATTCACAACAGTAGCGTCTTTGAGGTCTCGAGAAAGTTTTCCTTGAAACCACAAAGCGAAATTTCCACGAGTTATGATAAAAACAAATGCAGCGGAGTACATGACTCATATCTCGCCCACGTGTACTGGGGAGATTTGTCGTTGAGTTGAGGAAATCTGTCCTATCTTCATATGTTTGAAGGTAATAGGGAAGGCAATAGGAAACCCGCAATGCGAAGCGAAGACCTACATAATTAAAAAAATGTTCTTAAATTGCGCCGAAGACAATATTCGGGATAGTCGACATCCATTGGCACGAAAAACCGGATGCTGGGGTGAACGTAATTGTGTATTGCCAGTCGGGCGTGCAACGTGGGTATGTAGAGGAAAAATAGCAATTCAAGAAAGAGCAAAACTAATGATCATTTTATCAAGGACCAACAGAGCAAGTTAGATGCAGATCCGTGTCCAGATGAATTCCTCCATTTTCGTAAGATCTTTGTCGTAACAGATCGAATTCAACTGTCGGAGGAGGCAGTGAGAGGTGTTGTGCTGCATCCGACCGCCGTTATTTCAATACACACATCTGCTCTGGGAGCTCTAACCGAATAAAGCTTATCAAGACTTACCTTATTTTTCTCTGCAACCGTACCTACAAGGAGAAACTGTTGCTGCCGGTACCATGTCGCAAATCGCAATGAATGTTCTCAACAAAACTCAGCCACACAAATATGATTCAAAACAGCAACCAAACTGCACTGGCAGTCATCCATATCAGCGACTATGGAAGCAAATCCTCCCTGTCAGCCTATTTATTGAGGACCTATCATTTTGGATCTATTTTAAGGCGTCAAGTGCGCAATCGTGTCTAAAATCATGAAATATCAGGCTTCCAATGCTGCACTTCATCTTCACTTTTAAGTCAGGACAGCAGTGAGCACACTTGCTGAGGAGTTAATCTGGCTCAGTACTCACTGAGATGCACGTCGAGGACACCCTTGCCTCTCAGGCCAACATGCCAACTCACTGACACAGCCAGCACACTAAACTGGCCGCTCATACTACATTTTTATTTATGCCGCAGTGGACGCATTACGTCCACTATATTTCTGGAGGGAACATGCAGCTAACCATTATTAGTACCTTCAATTCCGGATTCGAGTGACTCGAAATTACGAAAGCACTCGGAGAAGGCCACCACAGCCAATTACGCACGAAGCGAACCGCATGTATTCGCATTACTTCAGCCCAGGCACAGCTGTCCACGCCCTGCTCGACCTAACCACCGCACAAGTAATACACTACAACCTATTTGAAAACGAGGAGGCCCCTTCGGGGGATGCTGCAGACACTACTTTAACGCAGAGCACCTTGACTTAGCCCCAAAACACACAGAAAAGTCACCGACTCGTCGGAAAACCTCGTCCCTCAGTTATGACTTAGCATGGTCAACACAGATCTTGCCATCGACCACTTAAATCTGAGGCAGCAACTCGGGGTTCTGTAAAGAGTAAAAACGTCCGCATGGTATTTTCGGTCTTCCAAAATGAAAGTTGACCTTTCGATTGTAGTCCTCAAGATAAACCTGCTCAGGTTGGCACAATGCTAAGGCGCAGCGCCATCGCAGACTGACAAACGTAGTTCACTTTCCATGTCTAAAACAATGGACACGGGTACCCTAATTAGAGCTGCCATACTCCGTTTCGGTGGTGCCCACGAGTCGAACTCTTGTCAAAAAATTCCATTGATAAAGTCAGGGGCCTACTTGTGGCCACCAGGGAGCGACACCCCATCCGCAGGCTACAAACCCGAATTGATTGTCAATCAACCAGCAATCGCACCATCGCATTAGTCGGTTTGCGAGATGTCGGCTAAGACCGAGAGTACAAAGTCACAGGAAAGTGGCGTGCGGCGATCCCGAGTGAACTTTCAGCTCAGCATCTCCGATCTCAATCTTAAGGAGACAAAACTTCCCGCAGGGGGGAAGGTATTTGTAGTTTATGAGACTGGATATCGGTTAGCTTGAAAACGTCGAGTTCCGAAAAGGCGCTGGTTTTTTAAGCTAGAATCCTGTAGCCACAAAACTCGGTAGTGGCTACAAAGATGGTTTATCACTGGCATCTTCCACTGTCAAGGATCGTACTACCCTCGAAAAAGTCCAACGACGGGCAACCAAGCTTGTCAGAGGTCATAAAAACCAACCTTACGAAACTAGACTGTCAAATCTTAACCTTTTTCCCCTGGACTACAGACAACTACGTGGCGACTTAATTCAAACGTTTAGAATGCTACGGGGTCAGGACTGCTGCCTCGCATCTGGCGACTTCTTTGAACTGGCCACCACTACTAGCTTGAGACGACACCCTCTGAAACTACGTGTGACAGGGGCGAGACTGGACGCAAGGAGGTCTTTCTTCAGCCACAGAGTGGTAAAGGCATGGAGTGCCCTGCCCGTGGACGTCGTCATGTCCTCATTCGTGGACTCATTTAAGAGAAAGCTTGACAAGTACAGGGATATGTACCTCCACAGCATCAGAAACTAACAAATTTCCCCCTGTACCACCCGCCCCACCCACAGTTTTGTTACAAAACATGCTACTCCCTATATTTTAGTAACATTACGTTTTACAATTTTCGCTATCTCCAGACCGCAGCATATGCGCTTGCTTCGATATTACTTGGTCCATTCAGTACCGTACTGGTTATTGTACAACTTTGACACAGAAGGCATTCACAGACAAATTTATAACAGGGACCAATGCTTGTTGTATGTAATTACTTACCGAATTTTTTTGACACTTGCCTTACACATTGTTTTTTATAACGTTATTGTAACCAAAAGGGAGTTCAAAGGCGCTCGTCTACCTTTCCCTTAATAAATCTGATCTCATATTAGTTTTGCCACCGAGGCCTCGCTAAAATCCTTTTATAAATGCAAGTTACTCACGACTGGTCTCACATCGACGGAGGATTTACAACGGCCTGATTCCCCCTCCCTGTGTAAACCTCTTTAGGGTCTATTCATGGAAATTAAAATTCGGAAGCACACGTCTACGCATCGGCTCAAGTACACGAAAGTTCGTGGATTTAAACAAGACACAAAGGCGAGGCAGATGGGCTCGATTAATTGGGTGTTTTTGTCTTCCTAAAACCAGTACTAAGGCATTTACGAATACGCCCGTCCAAGAGTAACCGCACTTAGAATGTGCCGACTAAAACGCACTATTGAAAAAACAATCTGCAAAACGAAATTCAACCTAAGGCATGCAGTGTTGAGCTCCAAGTAACACACAATCCGAGTCATTCTGCCTGTGTGAGTCAGTAATAGTAACAAAACTAACCGAGGCCACAAAGAAGGGCAAATGATAAAAGGAGGTCCAGCAAACAGCTTCAGCTATACTGCCACACGAGAGTACTACTCACAAATACACCTCCTCATCTATACTAATTTTCAGACGGAAAACCGGCAAGGCATTACAAATCATCCAGTGCGATCAACCCCCTAAGACAGCCAAACGCGCGGATCTCAGGCAAGAAATTGTGCTTAGAAATGCGTGGTCAAACCGAGGAAGTAGTTAGGACTGTCAGACTGCAAAATACATATATGAGTATCGTAACGGATCAAAAGAATACAAAAGGTACAACTACTCGTAATAAAAAACGGGATCTTAGAAATTACAAAAACGAGCGATGGGAAAAGGCAAACACAACTGACTCGTGGGAACCAGGTATAAGAAAAAAAATAAGGGAGAAAATCAAAATGCATTTGGTGCGGTTGCGTCTGTGTGCTTGTACAGGTGGACGTGAGGATGGGGAGGCAAGGGGGAGATAAGAAGTGTTAAACCACGGAAGATTGTTCAACGGCACCATTAGACTGATGCATAGCGGATGAAGTTGTCAGGAGATCCTGGCTCACGTCAGGCAACCTTAAATGAACAAAAATGGTTAAAAACGGATAAAAATCATGTTGAAATCAGGATATGGACACCATTTTAGATAACAAATAACACTGCTTAAACAAAGCGGGAAAAAACTGAAGATAACGAGATAAAATTTCGAGAGAAAAGCCACGTCCTCACAAATAATAAAACAACTCAAGTAAACAAAAGAGACAAACAACTACACAGAATTAGACTTTATGAAAAAAATGAGTGACACTGAAAAGGTCATTTCTGGGCGAATTTTCATTAGCCACAAGTATACAGATACCAAAAAGGGATGATGCACGATTTTGAATCGTCTAAAGTGTACAAAACAGAGAATGCCACAGCTATACTTCTTACCGAATGCCAGAAAGAGAAAAGAGCAAGGCCTATTTGTTGCTATTGGCCGATGATATCACGATTATCTGATGCAAGCAAATCAGATGAGCATCGGGCTCAAATATTAGCCTTCCATTTCGAGACGGGGCGGTATCGGCTACTAACGCAAATAAGCCAGAAATGGCATTTCTTAAGTCCTTTGTCTGTGTCGGTAACGCCTCCCGGGTATTCCCTGATAGCCGCTATGAGGCCGTCTGCGTGCGCGGAGCTCCACGGCAAGACGTGAATGTCCAAATATGGGAGAACGCGACCCACGAGAATATGAATGGATGCCACATCTTGTACTTGGTACGGGTGCGGTCAGGCCCAATCTAGCCTGCCTCGATGATATCAAGGACTGTCTTTCTCCACGCTTGATGATCCGCAGCAGCAGATCTGCACAACTCAACCCATTATCTTTGCCAGCGACGGAGACAAAATACTGAAGGCCCGAGAACCCTCTCCACCTCGTGTGCGAACGGGATCATGGTCCGACCAACGCCTGCAGTTGTGAGTAAAAATATCTTCATCGCGCCGTTCGGCAGCTGATGTTGGCACGTACACGAAAACGACAGTGAAGTCATAAAGTGGCCCTTTAGTCGCATACTGGCCATCCGTTCACGGACTGATTCCCAACATAGATCGTAATACTGCATTCGAACATACTTTTATGAGGTTTGTTGGGAGTTGCGAGTACTGACGGACCCCCAACAGCCGCTAGGATTGTTTTTTCGAGGTTGTCTCGTCTAACGCTTTGGTTAAAGCGGTGACAAGCACGCTTATTTATTGGCGGTTAACGGTCGCCATGTCGATGTGCTGTCATCATTTTATAAGGCAATGGGCGTGTCTGGTTGTTTCGCAGCTAGCCGTCGCCGAAGGCTGTTCCACTGTTCGCCGCCTGTAGAGGACGCCGAGTAGCCAGGAGTTAGACTTGTGGTACCGCATCTTGTACGACCACGTGTAACTATCTATAGATCAATTTCTCGTGTTCTTCCACTGCCATACTGAGACACGGACAAAGGTCAGGAGTTTCGCTGTCCCATACATAAACAAAACCCTATCGGCCAAAAAGGTGACTGGGTCAGAACGTTCCGGTCGGAATAGGGGGCAAAAAGAGTTGAGGAAAGAACCCCCTACTGGGAGCAGAAAGCGGAGTGTGTGTGAACACGAGGGCCGTCACGACCAGAATGGGAACGTCATACAAATTGAGATGACTCGTGAATGCTCGTTCCTATGATTCGGCATCATCCTCCTCAAAAAATACATTCTCGATTAAAGCGTAAAGGCGCGGCACTGTATGCAAAATAAGGGAAGAGTAAGTCTCGGAAACCGCTAGACTGCCATCCACGTGTTCCCACGAAGCCTTCATAATGATGAAACGAAAATAATTGCAAAATTAGATGAGGTTTTAAATTACACCTTTCTGGACAATGAAAAGGGAAAAAACACTCAAATGCCACCCTTGGACGATCGGGGAGGCGAGACCCTGAGTATAAAGTTATACAGAAAGGCAACGGAAATGCTCCAACTCTGAGGTTGCCAGGGCGACAGCTCGTTAGTCCATAAACGCGGCTATGCGAACCTTCTGTCGGCCGAAAAGTGTCCGAGCTGAAATATCGCTGATTTTTTATGAATAACAGACACTCATGAAACATTGCTAAAATCTACAGGCGACATATGACTCAAAAGCGAGGGTATTAGAAACTGGCAATGTTTTTGACGATTTGGCTAGTATTCTACGACCTTTGGGGCGGTTGTCAGTCACAGGGCTAAAGCAGTAAGCTGTAGAGTTCTGGGCAGCGTTGAGAGTCGTCTATCGGCGCCGGCAAGTTCCCGCGGAGACAGAACCACGAACGCCGGAGGCGGGATCAAGCACAGTAGCTGACAAACGTAGGCAGTCAGTCTACGCGTGCCACACATGTCTGGTCCGCGCACGGTGGACCAGGATTTCACATAAAAGTGGGCGGTTTGGGCCCGAATTGAGTGGCAGTACTAGGGGCCACATTACAGGGCCACCAGAGCCTGACTCTCCGTCGTGCGAGTAAGACCCTTCAGTTGATAGTCTACAGAGCACCGTGATAGATTTAAGCGCGTCAGTGAGAAATATGCGCTGTGTAGGGATTTCCACGATACACTAGACGCATTAATGCCATGAGGTGAGAGGCCAAGAACCTAACGGCGCATGCCAGTTTTCTTCACAACGCAACTGCCCACAACAAAGGACAGACGGTCTGCAACGTCGGTGAACATACGGTTTTTACGTAGAAAACCTACCTGTAGACGAAGTACGACCAACCGAAAGAGGCGTTTGGAGTTAACTATGATCTCACAAAAGATTCAGACGTGCATTGCAATCAGTGAAGGAGGAGAACGCGTCCATCAACGCAAAACTACTAAGTCCGGGAGCCACCACGTACTACTTGTAGAAACCGGATGTACGGCAAACCGACAAGTCAGTCCAGAGTTATTACATACAAAGACAACGGAGACAGGAATACAATTTCTTGGCCTTTCTACCACTGTGAGCCAGCGAACCTCAAGCACAGTAAATGAGGATGGATGGATGAATGAAATGAGGACGGTAAACGAGATATTAAAGGATAACATCTGGAACATACTTGAGTGCCGGCGACCGAACGAGAAGAGGTGAGACCCCGTTCACTTTGCGGTCTGTGGATGGATGAGAATCACACTTTGAAGGCGAGGTCTGATTAATGGTGTGGGAGGAAGACGGATGTCCATCGGAGTCAAACAGAAGGCGAGACAGACGTGTGTCGTTCTGCGAAGAGTAGTTCAGGAGAACTGGCAACGGGATTCGATTAGCCAATCGCTGGCGTCTGGAGACAATCAGCCTCATTCTTTGAAAAGTAGGAATAAATTGAGTTCGCTTAGTAAAACTTCGGCCCAGAAGTAAACAAGCGGCAAGTGTCAAAGTACTATAGTCAGACTGAAGGTATTGTGTAAATGGTCGCGCACACAATCGCAAACGGTTCAGTGTCCTATCACTGAGCTGCTGGCGAATGCCCATAGTGTCAGTCTCAAAGGCTAACTGGACCAGAATTTAAACCCCAGGCCTTCACGGACCAGAATAGGACTATGGATGTCTTACATGCTCAAAAAAACTGCAAATGGTATTTCTGGTGCACATTAGTTTTTTATTTGTTAGTTTGTTTACAATCATGCAACCACCGGTGAGGGCCCTACAACGTGGATCAAAAGCAAACCGATCTAGATGGGTGAAGGCCACTCCTATGTGAGCTTGAATATTTTCAACCGCAGAGGAAAGAGCAAAGTAGTAAAGTGTTGTTCTCAGTTGGGAAATCAACTCAGGTTAAAGTTACAGATTTTCTTAGCCCGGCGATTGGCAGGCAGACCTGATTGCAGGTCTGAACGCAGGTGTTTGGATCTCAAATAATCTTTAAGTCGACTTTGTTTGTGGCCAAATAATGACCACAAACAATCCAGAAATAACCATTCTACCATCCCATACCTGTCGGTAAACTGGCCACGATTATGTAAAGAGGCTTCGCAGGTCACAGCAGCGAGGCTAAATAATTGGACAGATTTCAGAACAAGCCTAAAGAATTCCGTGACTATTAATACCAAAAAAGCCGCAACAACGGACATTTTGACGCTCGATACAGAAAC